AACCTCTCCTAACAACTCGAGTTATCGGGATCAATTGATTCTTGATAATTGACATTATATCAGAACAATCTGTGTCCGAGAGGTCTTGTGTTCCAATCCGGTGACCCTATTTGTGAAGCACATGGTATTCTCATACTCAAAACCTATGCAAACGAAAGCCTTTATGAGTTGAATGTCTTTCGTTTGAGGGTGTGTATTATAGCAAGTGGTTAATAAGATCCATAATCCATTATTGAACTTTTTCTAACAACTCGAATTATTGAGATCAATTGATTCTCGACATTGAGATAAATTGAATTATGAAAAATTAAATTTGGAAGGAATTCGTGTATTCATCGTCTAATTAACGTCCTATAATAGAACTCTCATACGGAGACTAGCTCGATATGCATGGGAGAAGATGAACTACTTGTTTGGTTAGAGATTGACTCGTATTAATTGAATGAGAAAAGGACAAAGGTAGAGCAGCAGAAACGGAGCATTGAGCAATGTGATGCATGCATGGTGGTCCATCTTTGATCACATTTTGTTTTGAATTTAACTCGAGTTGTTGGGAGAGAGTTATACTGGATCTTATATCACTCTCTAACACGATCCTCAAATGAAAGCGAATTTATGGGCTTGAAGTTTGCACAGGCCCACCATACCATGTGCTTTAATCAACTGTTAATATTGGGGGTCGTGGAGAAGCCGGGATAACTCTTAAACCTTAGGCTAGCAAGGTAAATGGATTTAGGAAAGAATTCGAATACATGACCACTTGGCCAAACCAGCTCTGATACCATGTCATAAACCAGTTGGTCCCAATAACTCGAGTTGTTGGGAGAAAGTTATACTGGATCTTATACCACTCTCTAACAACCAGACCAGAGCCATCGTTCCCCTTTCATCACATGATCAAAGTATATAGCGACATCCAGCCAGTCGGCATGGAGAACATAATGTTAAAAGATTAGTTGTCCCAATAATTCGAGTTGCGTTGGGAGAGATTCAAGAATGTATTATATATTATTTACTAACATAGGCGGAGGGAGAGCACTTCGTGGTCGTTTATGCAAACAATAATTGTATTAGTCGATTATTCCCTTTATTGGATTCCTATTTAATGAATTATTTGAATATTATTAATTTAAATTATATTTATTAAATCTTTATATATTTAAATTATGAAAAAGGACAGGGGTAGTTTGAAATTCTGGCTCCGCCACTGTTTACTAATACATCTCTTTAAACGAAAATCGACTCATATGAGTTTAAATTTTGCATAGGTCTAGATATACCATGTTCTTAACAGAACAGATGTGTGTATTGGGATCGAGTCCAAAGCATCAGTCCACTGGGCCCATGAGGAAGCCCACGTCCGCCGCAATCATTGAATCCACGTCCAATTCTTGTGGATTTTTCACTTGTCCTCATTGTGTAACCCTAGATGCATGTGATGAAGGGTATATATGTGTTGTAAGGCCTTCGGCCAAATCACAACATTGAGAAATGAGATTACAGCCGGAGAGTTGAACTCTCCCGTGGACTAGTCCCGACATTCGGGGAAACCACGTAAAACCTTGGTCTCTTGTGCATTCGTTCATTGATCACGTCACTTTTATTATGGTATCAGAGCATTGATCCGGATTTTCACCTGAGCAATCATGTCGGGCGATGATTCCACACTCGAGACGACTCTCACGTCGAAGTCGACCGCGTCTGGATCAGGGGGTAAGGATCTTGATATTCACAACCCAGTCTTCATGCATCAGTCGGATAGCACAGGGCATCTCCATGTCAGCAGCTTGCTTACCTCGTCCAATTATAGCGAGTGGATCTTGGAGATGACTGATGCACTCGTCACCAAAAACAAGATGGGGTTCGTCGATGGATCAATACCGCGACCTCAAGGCAACTCGTCGGCGGATTCACTGGCCTGGACGCGTTGTGACGCGTTAGTCAAAGGCTGGCTACGCACATCCATGGACGCGGAGATGCGGAGCAGTGTGATGCACGCAAAGACCGCACAAGAAATTTGGGAGGATCTTCGAGATCGGTTCAGCAAAGGAAATCTGACGCGCGCATATGAATTGCAGCGCCACGTAGTCTTGCTTCAGCAAGAAAAGCAGTCGGTTTCTGCTTTTTATACGAAGCTGCGGAAAATTTGGGAGTAAACTCAAGCCATTCTCCCACCACCAACCTGCGTTTGCGGTCGCCGATGCAAGGATCAGAACGAGAGCCTTCGGCTCCTTGACTTTCTACTTGGGCTTGACGACTCCTATGCAACGGTGCGAAGTCAGATCTTGTCTATGACCGCACCAGCATCCCTTCCAGAAGCGTTCCGAATCGTGCATAACGAGGAGCAGCAACGGACCTTGACTCAACACCGCAAACCAATTCCGGAAGCAGCCGCGTTTGTGACACAAGGAGAAGCTGATAAGCTCGCTACCTCAAACCGTGGTGCTCGCGGAACGGGGGAGAAGGAGCGACCCCACTGCTCTCATTGCCTTAAACCTGGACATCTCCGTGATTCTTGCTACGAGTTGATCGGCTACCCCCCCCGCGGCTGGACTCCACGAGAAAAGCGGGAAGACCGACCTCGACGCCGAAATCGGGATTCTGGTCGAGAGCATTCATCATCTCGCAGCCAAGGGCCGCCCAAGTAGATGCAGAGACAAGCCCAGTTGCAGGTTTCACATTACAACAACTAGAACAGTTGAATAGTTTCTTTGGCAGCCACTTCCCAAGCGCTGCCGATCCCATGAGCAACATGGCGGGTATGTTTTCTTTTTCTGATACATCTGAGTGGCTCATTGATTCAGGATGCAACGAGCATATAATCATGGATGATACAGCTCTTTTTGCATCTAATCCTGGTTCGCCGAGTCATCCGGTTCGAATTCCAAATGGAGCCAGTATACCAGTCAAGCGCATTGGCTCTGTACAGTTGAATGATGAGCTAACGTTAGAGCGCGTTTTATATGTACCTGAGTTTCGATGCAATCTCCTATCGGTAAGTCGCCTTTGCAAAGAGCATAATGTGGCCTTAACTTTTCTTGGGGATTTCTGCATTATACAGGACTTACGCTCCAAGAGCGTGATTGGGAAGGGGGAGATCCGTGATGGCCTCTATTTCTTGCGCCTGTTTGGTTGTCGTCGAGCTCGAGCTCATGCAGCAGTGGAGACTACCAGACCGCGCAAGGTTCACTGGCACGCCCGCCTCGGCCATACCTCGGCAGGTGTCATGCAGCAACTTAGTAGTATTTTATCTTTCCCGGTTGCATTGGATAATGATTTTTGTCATTCATGTTCACGTGCTAAGCAAGTGCGAACTCCTTTTCCCGTTAGTGGCATTCGTACATCTGCCTGTTTTGAGATTTTGCATATGGATATTTGGGGTGGATATTCTACTCCGTCGTATAGTGGGGCTCATTATTTCTTGACTATAGTTGATGATTTTAGTCGAGGAGTTTGGGTTTATCTTATACGTTTTAAATCGGAGGTTGGTCGATATCTACAGTTTTTTTGCAATTTTCGATATCTACCTGCTTCTCCGATTGCCCAGCCACCTGTTCACAAATTCGCAATTTCCAATGGGCCTACTCCTCTTGGCCCGTCTTCACACTTACCTGTCATGCCCAAGCCTCAAAATGGGCTTTCTTCACCGGGACCATCTTCCCAGTCGCCCCCTGAACCCGAGACGCCGTCCCCTGGCTCTTCAATTGGGCCGGTCTCCTCGGTTGGGCCAGCTTCCTCCTCCCCGACCCGGGTTGTGCAGCGGGCTGATCAATCTGCTGGGCCCTCGCTGAATTCCCCGTCTAATCTTCCCCAAGGAATTTATCCGGCTTCACCTTCCCCGCCACCCCGGCGGAGTGACCGAGTTCGGACGAAGCCACGCTATCTAGACATATATGACACAGGGAGTCCTGCCAACCTTGTTCATTACCCTTTATCTAATTATGTCTCATACGACCATTTTACGCCATCTTATTGTGATTTTCTTGCTGCAGTGGCGCATCATCCCGAGCCACGTTCCTTTTCTGAAGCCGTCAAGCACGAATGTTGGCGTCGAGCCATGTCGGCTGAAGTTTTAGCCCTGCAGGAGAATGGGACTTGGAGTCTCGTCTATCTTCCATCGGGAAAGCGCCTCATTGGCTGCAAATGGGTCTACAAAATCAAGTTTAATCCCGATGGAACAGTCGAACGATACAAAGCTCGCCTGGTTGCCAAAAGCTACACTCAGATTGAATGAGTTGATTTTCATGACACATTTGCTCCTGTGGCTAAGCTAGTCACTGTTCGCTGCCTCATTGCTGTAGCAGTCAGCAGAAATTGGCATATTCACCAACTTGACGTGAATAATGCATTTTTGCATGGAGACTTAGATGAAGAAGTCTATATGCAGATTCTTCCTGGTTTTGCGGCTCCGGGTGACCAGCGCGTATGTCGTCTCCGCAAGTCACTGTATGGCTTACGTCAAGCTTCTCGCAACTGGTATCACAAATTTACGCAAGCTCTATGTGAGTTGCACTTCAAGCCTTCTCCAGCAGATCATTCGCTGTTTACTTTTCAGCGGGGGAGTGTGCACGTGGTTGCACTCATTTATGTAGATGATGTCATTCTGGCGGGAAACAGCCTTGAGTTTATCACTCAAGTCAAGGCTTTCTTACATGCTCGGTTCAGTATTAAGGACTTGGGGCCTTTACGCTATTTTCTTGGTCTGGAGGTAGCCAGGACAGCCACTGGCGTTGTTTTGAGCCAACGGAAGTATCTCTTAGACATTCTTAAAGATTCAGGTGTCTTAGGGAGCAAGCCTAGTGTAACATCCCGTTTCGACTAAAATCGTATTTCGATCGCTAGAAAGTTCGCGATTTAAAATCGAGCGTTTTAACAGTATTTCGGCAAAAATCGGATTATCGATCGATCGGATAAGTATACGTATTAATTATATATATATATATATATATATATTAATTAAGCGGCCGCATATATATTAATCTCTCTCCCCCCCCCCCCCCCCCCACTCGTCCATTATCACCATCGTTTTCTCATTTCCACCGAGATAATCAAAACAAAGCAGAGCGACAACAGTCGCGCACAGGGGAGCTCGGGGAAAATTTCCTTAGCTCGATTCTTGAGCTACACTGATCCAAAAATCCCGTAAGTAATGCTTAATTCATCTATACATCGTGATTTATCGATTTAGAGCTTTAAAACGAGTTTTTGGTTCAGGAATTTCTTGAATTCCCGATAAGCCAAATTAGGGTTTCGGAGTATCCGGAAGCCGGATTGAGCCCAAATTTCATATACGAGCTTCCTGCAGCGAGGTAATCAATCCCCTAGTTCTAATCCCTGAATTTCGGCTATTAATTAGGCCGGGGTCCAAACTGCTGGATTTAGCTCCGGCCAGGGTTTGATGTGTTTTTATCGAGAATTTGACCCGGAGCCCAGAACTAATATTGACGGGGATACTGCAGGGGATATTAGGACGGTCTCGGATTTTAATTCGGGGTTCGTTCGTGAAATTGATGTTTTAGTACCGGAGGCTAGAACCGGTGTTTGAACGACCAGAACTGGTGAGGGATTAGCACGGCATACCGGGTTTGTCGTATCACGATAATTATATTGATGCTCAGAATTGACCTAGGTGAACTAGAATGACATGATTAGGGGTGTATGGACTTTTGTGCTATATGATGAACCCTGGACTGTTGTATGATATTATTGATTTGCCCTAGCCAATATGGACCTTGTTTATGTTGATGATTGCATACATGTTGCCATTTGTGACTTAACCGTTGATATGAATTCATGGTTGTTCGATCAGGTGTTTTGATATGTGATATTGTGGTTGTATTTGGATTCACAAGTGGGGGAAATAAACTTCCCAGGGTGATATTATGATGTTTAAAGAGAATGACTTGCACGAGGGTTTATCCCGAGGAAGTGCAATTATACGACTCCTGATTTACCTATGTTGAGCCAATTATGGCCAGGTCAAGTACATGTGCAAGTAATGAATTATGATTAAGCAAGATGAGATATGAATCATGTATAAGGATATCAAATATGAGGGTTGTGGTCTCACGGTCAACTACATAGTAATTAGGGCTCCCTATGCTATTACTCTATTATGATATGTATGATAGTCACACCTCTCATGTGGTGGTGACTGAAGAATTCTTATGAGATATGACCACACCCAGAGCGGTGTCGGGGTATGACTACACCCATAGTGGTGTGGGGTATGTTGACCACATCCGACGGGATGTTGGGGTATGTATGACTACATCCGACGGGATGTGGGGTATGTTTCCCGGGAGAGTTATTAGCATGGGAGTAGCCAGGCGCCTATAAGTAAAACATGATAAGATGCATATGCATAAGTCAAGGTGGTTGAGTCTTTTGCTTATTGGGATATGAGGATGGCTGAGGTCCGATCCTAGTGTTTTGGCTTGTTTGCTAGATGTATGGTAGTGGTATGCTATGTTATGAACTCACGATGCTATGATTATCTCACTCAGCTATGAGCTGACCCTCTTTTATTCTTCTTCTCTGCTTATGCTATGTGTAAGCAGATCATCATCATCAGCAACAGTAGATAGGTGTATAGGTGGGAGCTGAGCAAGAGTTGAAGGCAAGATGAGGTATGGTCTTCAACCATTCTGTGCTTGGACTACTACTCGGGATTTTGGCCAGTGATCCACACATTTTTTGTAAAAATGTTTTGAGAACGTTTTTCATGTGCATACTAGCTTCTGATGTAGTGTGAGATATCCACAGGTGTGGAAAATTGATGATATGTGTATATGTTGTGTAACTGTGTAAGTTGTGACGATTATGGTATGTATAAGTTTGGTATGCAGTTGTGTAGTATGAAACTGTGACTATGGCTATGAAAAGCCAATGCATATGGTTGTGAGTATATATGTTTGTGATGAATTATTTTGCAGGATAAGTTGCAAGAACTGTTAGCCCATTACGCGAGTAATTCATGTCGAAATTTTATTTAGGTAAATTTTGATAATTATTGTAACACCCGAGATTAATTCCGCTGCAGTTGTATGAACAGTATGATTAGGCAAAACATATAGGGTAGGGTGTTACACCTAGCGCATTCCCAGTTGAGCAGCATCATCAACTAACACGTCCTGCTACTGCTGATCATCCCGACCCCGCCAGTTATCGTCGTCTGGTGGGTCGTCTTCTCTACTTGACCGTCACACGGCCAGACATCACATATGGGGTCAACATTCTCAGTCAGTTTGTTAATTCTCCCACACGTGCTCATATGGATGCGGCACAACGTATCCTTCGCTATCTCAAGAGTGCCCCTGGTCAAGGGTTGTTTTTTCCTTCTACTAATTCTCTCTATCTCACGGCATATTGTGATGCAGATTGGGGTGGTTGTCAAACCACGCGACGGTCGACTACTGGCTATGTCATTACACTAGGCGGTGTTCCGATTTCCTGGCGCACGAAGAAACAACAGGTTGTCGCTCGCTCCTCGGCCGAAGCTGAATATCGCGCCATGGCGCACACCGTCAGTAAAGTTCTCTGGTTACGCTGGCTGTTACAGGAACTCGGGGTGTCGATACATGGTGCCACACCTCTTTATTGTGACAATCAAGCTGCCTTGCACATTGCAGCTAATCCGGTTTTTCATGAGCGCACCAAACATGTCGAGATGGATTGCTATTTTGTTCGTGAAAGGGTGCAGTCAGGCGACATCAAACCCTTGAAGGTTAGCTCGCATCTCCAACTTGCGGACATGTTCACCAAGGGTCTCGGTGCTGAGCGTTTCCATTTCTTGTTGTCCAAGCTGCACGTTCGGAATCTCCACGCTGCAGCTTGCGGGGGAGTATTGGGATCGAGTCCGAAGCATCAGTCCACTGGGCCCATGAGGAAGCCCACGTCCGCCGCAGTCATTGAATCAACGTCCAATTCTTGTGGATTTTTCACTTGTCCTCATTGTGTAACCCTAGATGCATGTGATGAAGGGTATATATGTGCTGTAAGGCCTTCGGCCAAATCACAACATTGAGAAATAAGATTACAGCCGGAGAGTTGAACTCTCCCGTGAACTAGTCCCGACATTCGGGGAAACCACGTAAAACCTTGGTCTCTTGTGCATTCGTTCATTGATCACATCACTTTTATTAGTGTGTAATCGGGATTCGAATCAAAGATTTCTCAATTACAGAATGCGCTAATACCGAATCTGCGGATTGTATTTATTGGTGGTTTTCAAAGCCTGCGTCAAAGTATAACCTAGATCGGAGAATGACGATCGAAGAGGAGAGGAAAATAAGGGGAGAGATGCGAAGTGTCCTTTGAAACTTTGGACGTATCTTTGTCGACGAGGGACAAGTGTTTGCAAATCAAGCACCAATATTAGTGACGGCTGTCTCCAAGTTTCCATTTCCCCACGTGTTGTTTCTTAACTGTTTTCTTTCTTCCCATTACTGAATTCTATGTAACATATATATTTTATTACTTATTTATTGTCAAATTGATTTTCGGTTTGAATTTAGAGAACAAAGCCATATATATATTTATCAAAGTAATAGAATAAAATAGATTCACCCTGTTAATTAAGTAATAAAATAAAAACTAGGCAAGCGAAAATGATGGTTGATCGCCTCTAAATTGTCAAGTAATCATTTTAATTAAATAAATTAATACTAATTAAGTGGAGTAGTATCATTAAGGACAATCCAATTTCTTTGTTTCATCCTTTCTTCTTCTTCTTCTTCCTTTCTATTTTTTTTATAAAATCGTCCATTGCGGGCATTGACCATCATGATAGCTAGGGGTGTACATGGATCGGGTGGTTCGGGTTTAGTCATTTTAATCAGTCGACCCATGCATTACAGTTTGGAAAATATCAAACCCAAATCCACCCACAAAAATTTTAACCCTACGGTTTGTTTCTAATTGGGTTGGGTCGGGTTGGCGATATTTTTAAGTAAACCCCCAACCCAACATAAAATATATAATTATTCTATGTCATAAAAACATTTTATAACTAATTAAAATTTCAAACGAATGAACCGAGGTGAAAGGTATCAAAATTCACAAATGTTGTTTGAATTTTAATAAAATGTGATCTATTTCAGCATCTGTCTTGTTTTTTTCACAATATTTGTTGAAATAGGCTAAAAATGTTATAAACAAACGCATCCATAATATGTTATTCTATTAAAATTGTACACAAGAAAAAGGATTACGTGAATCATAACTATATTCAATTTATGTCTAAATATTTTTTAGATTCGAACTCATACTAATAGTTGCAACACGGGTTGGGTCGGGTTCTACGGGTTGTGTAATCCAAAATCCAAACCCAACCCCAAAAGAAGCGGGTTGTACAAAAGAAAACCCTCACCCAACTCAAAACCTTCGTTTTAGAGATTTATACGGGTGGGTTGGATCGGGTTGTACGGATGGGGTCAGTTTGCGGGTGTGTTTGTTCACCCCTAATGATAGCTATGTGTCCTTCCATTTATAAGTAAATAAAACGAGAAGAAATGGAGAAACCGAAAAGCAAATAATTAATAATAGAGGGGGAGCAGGCAAACGGTCTAATGATGGTACTATATATTTGTTAATAAAGCATAATTAAATATATGATAATTGAGTGAAGTCAACTATTTGTCTACCTATATACCTGCAAAACTAAATAGATTATCAGTACAGAAACTATCAACTTAATTATTATTATCATAATTAATTCTGCTGCTCTTTGTTTTTTTTTTTAATGACGAGTCGTCGTTGTTGCCCCTCCAGCCTGATCCTTTTTATGTTTGTTAATTAATGGTTTGGAAAGGTAATGGAGAACCATTAAACTTTTGCCGACCATTCACCGCGATGGATCGTACTAGAATCCAACAATTATTGTTTATTAAAGGATTTACTCACGAGAGTATAATTGGTTTAGAGAGGTACAAATATGAATCATATACATTGTTAATTAACAGTTATTCTATGAGTTTGAAGGTCGCAATGATTCGACAGGCACAAAACCTATACGATAAAACATTCTAATACTATGTTGAGAATCAATTTATCCTGATAACTGAAAGTATACATACATTAATCTTTATACATTTATTTCCTTTCTTTTTTAAATAGTATAAATAATATATGATCGTCCAACAATAGAACATAGACTTCAATATTATAGTCAAAATCTACGCTTTAAATTTGAAAAACTTACATTTTTCCGCCTCTTAAATCACCAAAACGTTTTTACATGGAATCACGATTTTGATTGGAAGCATTAATATCACTCAATGTATCTTATCCAAACAATCGACTTTACCATTGTCTCGTTCAATTAATACATACAGGGACTTACTATTTACAACATATCTCAACCCCCTTCTTCTATAGTTACATCTTCTCAACCTGTCCAGCCTTTGCCAGACAGACTCTAGAGTTGTAATATTTTTAGTCTGTTTCCTTTATCTCTTGGCCAAAAACCGGCATGGGGACTGCACCTCCCCTTCTTTTCTACATCAGGTTCAGTTCAGAGAGGTCGTCCATGGGTATCTCGAGACCAATCGAGTAATGATCCTGCAACCCATCGTCATCGAGCAAGTTGAATATCGAACCGAGATCTTGGTTCCCATCATCGGCCGACACCCCAAGCTTATCCAATTCATCCAGTGGCAAATCCATGGCTTCCTCCTCTGCTTCTTTAGGTTTGACTTCCCTCTCTGGCTTGCTGCGACCATTGGGTGCTCCTGTCGGATGACTGGATCGACAAGGCCCATTCGCTGCTGCTGTCGCAGCAGCAGCAGCCGCTGTCGCAGCAGCAGCAGCCGCTGTCGCAGCAGCAGCAGCCGCGCTTTTCTGCTTGGTAGGCTTGGCTTTTGCCCTGCGACTCCCTCCTGCAGAGGAAAGACTAGTTAATTTATCTGTGACATGGTGACATCTATCCCTATCAATTATTCTCTCACCCTTAGTACCACCAACAGTGCCATGATCAAGAGTTGACGAAGCACTGATGATCATATCATCAATAAGAACGTCCTTCTTACCTCTTTCGAAGCTATCGCAGAGGGAATCGTTTCTCTCTAATGGACTAGACGCAACACCACCTGCAACACAGGTTAGAACAGAGCCATTGAAATTAACTATACACCACAGTTGGTAATGATTATGACAAAAGGAACAGAAAGCAAGCACATATTGCAAGTATAGAGTTTGATATTTGCATCAATAACGCCCTGGATACCACAGTGGCATGACCATTTATAACAAGCAAAGCATATAATATTTTTTCAAGATCAAAATCCATCTGTCTCATCAAACAAGGTCTTTAAGTTGCTGTACCTGATAATCTGGCCTCAGTTTGATGGTTAGAAACATCATTCGGCGTGTTGCTGGCAGTTCCTGAGCCAACACAATCAGCAGACTTGGCTTCATTATTGCACGGGGGTGTCGAGAAGAGAGCGTCCTGCAATGCTGGTTCGCTGAAGCAGCTGATACCTCCATCTTCGAATTTTTTACATCTACCAAGTGTACGCCTAATAAAGCCCAAGGCAACTTGTCTAGGAACCTTGCGTACTGCTGCTTTTGATGTTGTATTTCCACGGCAAGCCTGCAGACCAAAGTACGATTTTAACTGTACGAAAAGCAACTACCAACATACTCCCCAACCAGTAAACTAGAGTACTAGCCAAACAGAGGGGAACTTAAATGACTAACAATCGTTTCATCCCTTCCATTTAGATGAATCGAACTTAGAAAATAGAAGTGCAGCAACTTCTAATAGCTCATGCTAACTGGTACCAATTCCAATGGAAAACCTTGGTTGCTAATTGCTCTCCAATTTATCTTCACCAATGCACGTGAAACTAAGATGCAGCATACCATGAGGCTCTAATGGCACAGCATTCCTTAATGGCACAGCATTCCACAAAAAACGAACAACCTACTGCAAAGAGGCTTCCTGTGAACAGAAATATGAAGCAGGCGAAAACCAAGATTGCCGGATTTTTCTCCAAACTAGTTAACATTTTGCAAATTCAAAATTGAAAGACTACATTGTCACAGCAGGTTAAATATATTTAGTACTAACAGTCAGGATAAACAAGTACCAGTCTTTTCCTGTAAGCAATCTCAACAAGTTGGTCCATAGCATTTTTCTCAACTCTCCTGCAATGATAGCTATGTTACTTAGTTAAAGGCAGTGTCATAGAACAATAAATATTTGGAAGCAACAGGTTTAGATAACTAAAACCAACCGTTTTCCAACATCTTTGTCTCTCAGGGTAGCTCTATCAATTTTCTCTAGCTTCCTTCTTTTTTGCCCAATCTGCCAATAAAGTCAGACAGTTACGTACTGATTACATCAGCAGAAACTCAAAACATTAAGACGTTCAAGATACAAAATAGTTGGCCAATTAGCTAGGCAAATAGGTTTGCTAAAAGAATGACAAATGACAAGACCTAAAACAGCTCAACTTAATTGGAACTCCTACAAATTTGTTCATCAAAACAACCTGCTCATACAGTCCTTCCTTAAGTTCTGCTATGTCTTGACTAATGACCTCTTCCCCCTCCGCCAGATCAGGCTGCGATAGAATAACAAACAATGAAAATGTAGCTAGAAACTCTGGCATCAGCCAATCCTAAACCTGAGAACAAAACCATTGCATCTTACATACCAGTTTCTCTGGACATATACCAATGCTCTGTAGCTCCAACAGCAGCTTATCATCTAGACACATTAGCTGATATTGGTGATCAGCTGAAGAAAATCCAGGTGTGGTCAATTCCCTTGTCTGCAGCAACCCCATGTCACATGAAGATATTTCGCTGCCATGTGCAAGATCAGAATGCGAAACCTCATCATCACTTCTCCATTGTCCATTACTGTACAAAGGGCTGGACATGGTTGAATTCCTGATACTGTTGGATGCAGCACTTTTATTGCAAGAAAATCCATTCACAACATAACTCCTCTGGTTCTGGAAGTTCACTGATTCAACTTCAGACTCTGTCCTATCCCTATCTCTGGGTTCAATATCAATCAGGTTACATGAACCACAATGAGAATCATCACTTGCATAATGAGGGGCATTTTTGCCTTCACCATGCTCATAAAATTCTTCACATTCATCTTCTTCAATCAGAGCTGAAAGAACTCTTTGGTACAGCGGAGCCCCCTTTTCCAGTCTTTCCATATCAACTTTTCCACGCAATGAAGTTGAGTTGGCTGATTTTTTATTAGGGCCATTCACTAGCTTTTCACCAGAACAGTTAGGAGAGTCCTTGTGCATCAGAACACCCTTGGGGAAATAAAGTTCATAATTATTAAATGTCTGATCCAAACATGATCCTTGTTTTGAGATTCTTTTCGTTCAAGGATACTCCAGCCAAATAGAAACTTCCACTTAAAAATTAAAAGCCACCAAGAAAATTCAATTGACTGGATTCTACTTATGCCTAGCAAAAACAACAGCTTTTAAGCTGTAAATAGATTAGATGGCCAAACAAACATTAGACAACATACCAGAACATTGTACTCGACACCAAGCATCTGAGACAAACTCTCATCTAGCTCCTCCGCAAAACTCAGCTGATCCAGGAAGAAAGTAAGAAAGAAAGATATTAGTAAGGCTGAACTAAATCTGTCAACGGACTCTCCAGTCACCTTTCAGTAAGCCATTCATACCTGTTCATTTAAATATGATGTGTCCCCCGAACTGACGGATGCAAAAATAGGTTCCATTTTTTTCCAATACGAACCAGAGCAAGCAAGGCCTACAACACCGAGCAAGCAATGTTATGAGAACTACCAACAAACAGACTCTGAGACATTCCAGACAGTATTAAAGAAACAAAACATACTGGAAGCATTCCGCGCAGAACTTGCGGCTGCAAATAACTCCTCATGATCGTCATCAGATTCGCCTGTCAATAATATCACAACAAATATAGGATGAGCTGCAGAAGCCACGCTAACAAGAAGAAGGTTTCTATTACCCAAGTAAAAAATATAAAATAACCTCACGTTCTTGCTTTTTCTTTTGAAGTTTTTTCATATGCAAAGTTAAAGACAAAATACTAGAGGCAAACTACACAAATCTTCTCAACTTTGCATATGAATAGACGTCAAAAGAAAAGGCAAAAAGCAAATTCCTCTTAAAACTGTCAGGAAAAGCTTGTACAACAGAGTAATTGTTAGAGCAGTGTCATGCTAACCTCTTTGGGATTGAAAAGCATTTCAACAATGATTTTATACCATTCAGGAAACTACACGGCAAAATTTATTTCAAGATTTCACGCAACATTATAACCTACCTGTGTAATCTGAAGAATTTCCGTTCAACACTGGCCCGATACGAGCAACAGCTTTTCGATCTTTCAACTTTTTGGAAGGAGGCCGACCAGATTTGCTGATTCAAAGAAAATGTACATTTCCTTTAAAAGTCAGACAACTAACAATACTGCCCCATAATAACAAAATCATAGCAATAATCATTAATCAGGAGAAGTCACAAGCAGACACCTTTTATTCTTATCAGGAGGCTTCACGATTGGAATTGGTTTCATTGTCGGTTGGTTCTCTAACTTCTCCCTTCCCGAATTAACACCTGGTCTTGTTAAAGACGGACTCCTTCCTGTCCGCCCCTGCCTCCGAAACCCTTCTCCAACTTCATTCGTGGGCAACTTGTTCTTCTTAGATGGAATCACAAAAGAACCAGGTTTCAGTAAAGCAGTTGGAGTAGTCTCACAACTATCTCTTCCTTTATCTTTGACCTTACTTTCTCCAGCCCCTGATTCTTCACTTTCAGAGAAACCAAAAGGAGAAGGAACATTTTCTACTTCCCTTTTAACCTTTGGAGTACTATTATCCAGGCCGCTGGGAACTAACGATCCGTTTGTTGCAATGGAAGACATCCTACCACTAAAATCAGAAGGCACAAAACCTGGCGATGAGGTTTGAGCTTCACCATTATTAGATACAGGAGTGATTATATTTGCTCTCCTTGTTCGCGAGCTTTTATGAGGTCTCTGACCAACCCACTGTGCCATGGCATGTGAAGATGAACCTGCAGACATTTGCCGTTTAGGATTATTTGCCATACCTGGAACTGGCACTTTATTTGAACTCGAAGCCTGATCTGAACCTTGAAGGGATGTGGATGAAGGGTGGCCCTTAAGAGATGAGTCTAGCTGCATGATGGAACCAGTCCGGGGTGCTCTAGATACTTTTGCTTTTATCAGAGTACTTGGACTGCTTGCTAGATTCTCCTCATGAAAAGTTGGCCTGAAGCAGCAAAGACTTGTCAACAACCAAGCAAAACTCATTCGATAGAATTCATTACACAGACTGAACCAGAGAAACAAAGTACTGGTTTCAAAGATTTGTCCAATTCTACTTGGTGTCTTATTGTACATTGCAGCTATGACACAGAAATACATACTTATTGCTTGCTTTTGCCAAAACTTTCTTCTCTAGGAGAGTCATACGGTCTCTTGGAGGGGGTCCGCTTTCCATCTCACTCCTCAAAGGTGTACTGGTGTCCGAACTAGTAGGCTCTAAAGAACCATCTGATTTGTTGATTCCACTGACGGGGGAGGATTTAGATCTGTAGGAAGCAGAAAACAACTGAACTTGATTCTCTTTTTAACCTTTCTCGTCATTAGAAGAACGCAGTAAAAACTCTAACCCATGCATTTCCAAATTATCAAAATGGAGTAACAAAGACCATCAGAGCAACTGCCCAACTAAAAGGCACATTTAGCACAAGACAGTTAACCAAATATAATAAAGAACGAGAAGAAAGAAAGAAAACTATCTGAAACACAAGTTTAAAACCCAAACCTCATCTCTAAGGCACAGAAATAATGTTACTCTGTGTATGAGGAATCAGAAGGAAAACCAAATGAAATATATAAAAAATAACAATAAACAGACTATGTTCCCCATTGAGATTAATGATTCATACTTGGCACCCTCTCACATGCACGAAGCCACTATACTGTACAAGAGGAACCAGCAAACTACTTCCAACAGACATCTAGACACAAAAGTTTTTAAAACAGATGCAATTCAACAGAAGAGCCTAGCAGCTGAGTGATACACGAAGAAAATAATGGCATCAAGTGTACAAATAAGATTACCTGAAGTCTTGAGCATCACAAGATCTCAACTTGGAATCAGAACTCATTTTAGGAAGCATGGGTCGCTTGAGGTCCCTGTCACTATTTATAACCCTACCACTAACCATCCCAACAGATCGTTTCTTTTTATTTTTTGTATCCCACCCTTCACCTCCAGCAGGTAACCTGCGTATCTTTTCTTCAAAGCGAACACCGCCTGCACCAACGTCAGGAAGCGTGTCTCCAGCCTTTTCCATTGCTAACTGCTGCCTTGGGCTGGGGCTTCTCTTACCATCTGGCTGTAAGCATCCAAGAAGATAAATAGCAACTCATGTTATAGGAGAACAACAAAGAATTTGCTGCACTTTCACGATATTACAAAAAGGACCAAATTGCTGGCTGTACATGATTGCAAAGCAAATGTTATACTGAAAAGCATATTGAAAAGGAAACCAAAGAGTTCCCATCATGGGCACCAAATTCCCCACTTATTCACATGATGGTCATGAAGAAGAAACAGAAATCTTCATCAGAACAGAAATTGGCAGACCTAATAATATACAAAAGAGGCAGTCCTATGGAACAGAGATAAGGATCAAATCATTAAAGAACTCCAGCATAGGTCATACGTTCACAAACACCGCAGAAAACCTGAATCTTCAGGCCTTCATACACACCAATATAGGTACATACCCGCACATCAGCCACCGACGTTCGAACACGCTTATTTAGACCAACACTTTTTGCCCGGTCCTCCAGTCTTTGAGGCATTCCTTCATGAGGACTTCTGTGAATTTGACTCCCCATCTTCCCTAAATTGGGTCCATTTGGTCTCTCTGTCACAGAAAATTCACTTCTTTGCCGCTTCTTTGAGGTTAAGACTTCCTTGTACTTATCCAATTTAATAATCGAATCCTTGAAAATTTTTGACCTATCCCTGGAAGAAAGACCAAAAATACAATCAAATCCTGCCCATACAGGAAAACTAACCAAAACACTTCAATCATCAACAATAGAAATATCTAACCAGCTTATGACCTACCAGGAAAAAAAAAACAAAGCTTACATAAAAAACATAACTAGACTAAGACTACAAACAACATTTGAAGGAAAGCAGTACAAGTTCACAGCAATGTGCAGAGGTACATGTTCTGTAAAATTAAAACTGCCCTTCAGTCGAAAAGCACTGACGTGAGAATGGTAAGATCACAAATCATCATTCACATATTTCCACAGAATCAAGACAGTAAATCCCAAAGTTACTACACGCAAGTCCCAAGACAGCACCTTCATAAATAAATAAAAGACATTACTCTTGAAGTACAAATTGCAGACAAGCTGCTAAATATAGTAACAAAATTATTCAAATTAAACAGAACTAGCTCCACGCTATAGTGGTAGATCCTGAAGCAGAAAGTTCCAGAGTATTGAATAAAGTACCTGGCCTTTCTAGAAGCATCTAGCACACTTTCTTTAAAGAGCTTTAACTCCTCTGTTGCCACAGGAGGAGGCTTGGGTTGAGCAACTCCAAAAGAATGATCCTCTGAGGCACTCCCGAAACCCAAAACTCTCCTTAGTTCTCCAGAACGAGTATATTTTTGGCTACCTAATGTGATTGGTTCCAAATGTAAGCACTCCGTCAAGGGTGGCATGTCTAATGGAGATGTAGCATTGCCCCGACTTATATTGCTCCCTGAGCCGAACATGCTGCCCGCTATCTCCAACTCAGGCTAGCAAAACTGGTAGACAGCCAGGCTAGTTACCAACATAGCAGCAGCTCGCTACAGAAAGGTCCTCTTAATATTTGCTAGAGAACATCATCTGTTGGAGACAAGTATCGTACACATTTGCTAGTGCAGCAGCGCCTGTAATTATTTTAAACAAAAAGAAGAAAACAAACTTGTAAGCAACAATGCTATCCCCAATAGACATTAAGCAAAGCTTAGGCTAGGTTGATATTTCCCGCCATTGTTCTTCTCTCAAGTGTGATACCTACCCACTTCCCTTATCCTCCTCTTCATCACGTCTTAACTCCTCCCCACGAAGAGTAGAGCATCCAACTACTAGGGGGATGACTTCCTTCACTACTCCGGTAATAATAGTAACAGTGAAACTGCGGTTTGCTTCCCCTTTCCACTCCTGATTGTTTGCTTTCTCAGAAGCTAAGCAGACAGCAGAACAACATTACAAACTTCATCAGTTCATCCCAACTGGCACCCTCTCCCTCCCTCCCTCCCTCCCTCGACTTTCAAGTTGCCACAGCCGAAACTAGAAACGACATGTCAAATTCCCATTTCATCTCCTTTCCCCCACCAAAAAAAACAAACGATATAAACCCCCCGCGAAAACTTCGAACTCCATACTCTGCAAAACCGATCTCAACGAATAACGCTAAAACGAAAAGAACCCTAGAATCCTCTATTTAACGAAGCCAAGACTGACTGAGACAAGATTAGCGGAAATGGAAGTAGGCAGAAAAAACCCTAACGGAAAGGTTGGGGGTAGTAATTGTAATTCATTACGCCTATCTCGAGCAAAACCGGGAATTGAAGTAGAATTCGAGCTGAGACGGAACCGAAATCGAGGAGAGGGATGAGGAATTACCTCGGATTCAACGAGGTCAACCGCAGATCAAAACCCCGCCACAGGAAATGTATTCTAGAGAGAGAAAGACGGAAGGGGGGAAGAAGGGTTTTAGAGAGAGAAAGTAACGCGCACGGGGAAAAATCAAACCAAAAAAAAAAAAAAAATGCTTCCCCCAGTATTGCGAAGCGGGGAGAGGGAAATGATTCGGTGACGCGCCACCGTGTACGCCCTCCCAATTTATTTCATCAGGGAGAAAGATTCTGTTCGGTATATTCCTTAAACGGCGTCGTGCAAAGACCATAAACTTCCTTACGATGTCGTTTAGTAGTTTGCTATTTGCTAAGGATGTTTTTATGTGTTTAAAATTTTCGTTTACGTATTATTGTTAAATCATTTCATTTTCTCTCGATAATTTAATGACTTTCATGTTGAACACGTATAATATTCGTATTTAAAGAATTCAATTAATAATTTAAACATCATTTGAACATTTTTTTTTAAATGACTAATTCAATATATCTTATGATTATTAGACGTATTATTAGACGTACCATTAGTTTAGAAACGAGATAATTCCTCTCCTCAAATGATGTTTTTACCGGCTTTGGTGGTAGGGTTACAACTCCAGTTTTTGACGGTGAGAGCGAACGACGCGCGTTGGCTGCTAGTTGAGAGGCAGGAGCAATGACGAAACTATTCGAGTTCGGAATAACATAAGACACTGTGCAGACGAGACAAAACGATATTCCTGCAAAACTACCAACAACAATCTTGTATCCCCATTAAGCACCTTTCAATCTCATGACTTATATATAGCTTATTGCATACATCACATACTTTGCAAGCAAGGTAGGTCATCTAGACAAAAACTACTAACCTCACTCACACATTGGATGTTTACACATGACAAGTTTTGCCTATCCATGACATTTATTCTAAGTAGTAGTATAACTAAGATGTAAGATATCCATAACTAGTCTCCATTGTAGCATTCACCAACTCATGCTTGTTGTCCTCCTTATGCTCCTTAGCTTATCGGTCTTCTTGTTCTGCCGCGTTCCCTCTTTCTTCATCCTCGTAATCTTCCATATCACAAGAAAGAGAAAAGGAGAAGAACAATCATCAAGCTCCAATGTGGAAGTTAAAGGTATTGATTGACAGCAATGGTTAATGTTGCTATGAGTATGAACAGAGTTTTTTATTTATTTTTTTTTACCTTCTCTCTGGCTTTCTCCTCGATCTCCTGCTGCGTTTCAACATCACATTTGCAAGTTAAAACTCAAAAGAAGATTCTTCAATGTGAGTGACATGAAGTAACAAAAGACAGACATTGATGACAAACATACCACAATCTGCTTCAGCCTGCTGTTATCCTCCTTGAGATAATTCAGCTCCAGCTCCAGCTCCATTGTATACGCCTGTTTCCTAGCCCTCGATCTAGCTGCAGATTCTCTGTTCTTGATCATCCTACGCTGCCTCCTCTCCACCAAAACCTCCGGCGGCCCGTCGATGATTCTGCTGAACTGATCACTCGACGATGCTTCCCCCACATAACCCTTGCTAGGGTTCATCATCATGTGGTACGAACCAAAGCATCCGGTCACGCTCGAGAAGTTCCCATTCAGACCATGAAAAGAAGACCCTAATGAAGATGGTGTCTCCAGTTTCAGCTGATGCAGCACTACTGTAGATGATGATGATGATGGTGAAGTAGAATTAGTGCTACTTCTTGGTGGTAATTTTGCAGCAGCTTCTTGGACTACACCTGCCTGTACCAAGAATTCCTCCAATGTCATGTTTCCTAAGGACTGTTGCCTCCCATGGGGGATCACATTGGTGCTGTCTGCTGGTTTCAAGTGACTGGAGAAATGGTGGTGCTGCTGCTGCTCTCTCTGGATCTCTGACCACACTTCGTCCACAGTTTTCTTGCAGAGTGGGGAAGGAATGGAGATTAAGGAACTCTGTTGCTGCTGCTGCTGCTGCTGCTGCTGCTGCTGATGTGTTTGCTGCTGACTCGATTTATCGTCGAACGGATTGTTATCAGGGTTTGATTGTGGCTGCAGAACTTGAGTTGTGTCTTCTGCATTGGTGTTCCACAAGTTGGACAGGAATTCGTCCATGTTCATGGACCCAAAGGCTTTCCCGCTTTTGAGCTCAATTTCGTTTAGCGTGAGGGACCATAGAGAATTGTCGTCGACCTTGCCATCTTCTAGTTGAGCAGATGCTTCTGGGAGACCGATACTTCCCATGGCCATAGTGATTGTATCTGGTTCAGATAGAATGGTCATCTTTCACCTATAGTCAAGTCTTCACATCAATCAACTTGCAAAATATTAGACTAAAGGGAGAAGAAGATGAAGAAGAGAGGGTTGAGTAAAGGAAGTACCTTCAAGCAATGGAGCTTCTAAGTAGATATGGTGAGAGAGGGAGAGATGCTTCTATGTTTCTGTGCTTGAGGTTTATACCAGTGATCAGAAGGTGAGGAGCATATATATAGATGGTGAGATGGTGATCGATAAAACCAAAGTTCAGAGCAAAAGACAAAACAATGAGAAAAAAGGTTATATAGAAAGGGTAAGGCCAAGGCTTGGGTCCTTTAATTCCGTAGGCTCTCAACAAAAAGAGGGGAAATGCCAAAAGAGGGAGGGAAAGGGGGAAGGTACTGAAGCAGAGACTGTAACTGCAATAGGCATTCCCTTGATACAAGGGTCATTGGCAGACTTTTATTATCGTTTAAACCGGTTCGGTTTCGATATGATCTTCGAAATATCATGGTTGAATTCATCTCGTAGAGAATATGCTACCTCGACTTGATTTCAGAAACTAGTTCATTGGATTGTCAAGTTTCAAATTCAAGAAAATCTTTTTTTTTTTTTTTAGAAAAAATTCAAGAAAATCTTATTCGATATTAGCTTAGTTTGGCCCTGCGGTAGATTTTGCAGAAGCAGCTTCTGGCTGGAGCTTTTAGATAAGTACTTTTTAAAAAAAAACAGTTGAGTGTTTGGCGGTAAAACTATTAGAAGTGCTTTTTAATATAAGAGGTTGTGTAAAATGACTATAAAGGACTTATAATATAAAATATGAATAAAAATTCTAAACAATAAAAAGTAGTCATCTTGTTAGATTTCTTTCATATTAAATAATATGATTTTATAATTTATTTTATTTTTAAAATGATATAAATGAAGGAAAATTATATTTTCTGAAATAAAATTAAAATATGGTAAGGATAATCTTGTAGTTTCAAAACAGCTTTTCGCAGAAGCTCCAAATCGGAGCTTCTGCTTTTATGTTATACAAAAGCGCTTTTCGGCTTTTCAAAAGCCAGACTTTTACAGGTGTTTGGCCCTGCTTCAACTTTTGAACCCGAAAAGCATTTCTAAAAGCCGGACCAAACATATGGATTGAATTCGGATTCTCGATATGGTGTTTTATTTTCACCTTATGAGTTAAGGGTAGGATTTTTTGTTTTTTTTTTTTGTTTTTGTTTTGGGAGCGTTTTGTTGCTTTCTGCATGGGTAAGGGCACAGTCGCACAGATGATGATGGCATGCTCTTTAATCTTTTGTTGCTTTGTGTCATCAGAAAGTGTTTTGGTTGTTTCTTCTCTTCTTCTTTTACATTGTTTGTTTTAGGGTTCTTGTCTTGTTGTGCTGAAATTTAGGGTCAAGTTTGGAGCTTTTCTTTTACATCATGATTCAGGGTAGGTGCATGCGTGCACTATCCACAAACACTATGTACTTTCTGTTTTAGAAAATCCTACTGAACCCGATCGGACCGGAAATACCAAATATCGGATTCAAACTGGTAGTTGGTTTTAGCGGTAGGAAACGATTGAATCACGATTAAAGCACAATTTTAGTACCAAATACTCTATCACAGACTTTTCTGGTATAATCCTAGTAGGATTTCACAACTTTTGGACTTATGTTATGTGCAGCAACATAACAGGATACAGCCAAGCCCCAAGTTCTCACCTTGCTTGCCCTGTTTGATGAAGTCTTCTCACTGCCATAGGAGATTGTCTGCAGAACTTATAATGTTGAATGAATAGGGGACATGCTTCTGACGAATCATTCCTTCATGTCCACCTGAGCCTGTCCATGGTTCTATATGGACCAATGCATCATTCTGAAACACCAAGAAATAGTAAATTAATCCCAGTAACTGGGATCATCATACATTGCTTTTCAATCAAATAGCAAAATTGCCAATCATTATACAGCTTGGAGAATCTCAGAAGAAGGAGAGTAAAAACAAGGGGTAAACTGACTTTTACTGTTTTACTGTTTTGATCAAATTGAGACACTTCAAAAAACCCTGGCTATCCTGGCTTGTACCTGCTTGAGAAGCAGCTGCAGAAGGCCAGCAGATACCCACATGTTCTTTATGGCTCTTGCCCCACTTCCCATAATTGCGAGACAAGGAACATTTATGAGTCTTGTAAATGAAAGAATTTATATTCACTTCCACCTTTCAAAATACAAATGTTTACACAATCCCCTAAAGGAGCTCAAATCTAATTGTAAGAGCAGACAAACAACACAAATCATGATGCAACTATATCAATTTGATAAGTTTTCCTTACGGTTCGGCTATGGTTGTACATGGTTTAGAGTAAGAGGTTCTTCCCCAAGTAAAAGTGACTTCAATACAGCCTCTCCAAGCCCGTTGTAGTGCACAATTAGATGCCCACCTTCAGGAACCTCGTGGTATCGAATCCATGGTAACTTCCCCGAAATGAATCTCTGGAGTTGAAACGGGACAACCCTGTCTTCAAGACCTTGCCAGATATGAACATTGCTTGTGTTTGAAGGAAATGGGTTCTCTAGGTCTGTTGGATCGAATTCCCAGTCTCCAAAACCCACCAGGAAATCATGGCGCAGAGTGTCGAAAACTTCTCGTTCTACCAATTTAGCCTGTTGGATCAAGAGGCGAACAGAAAGGACAAGCCTTTTGTCATTACCATGGTGTGGCAAAGAAACCCATTTCAGTTTTGTGAGTAATATGATATGGGGTTATACCTTGCTTAGCATTGGGAACCCTGGTATCTTCTTCAAGATCTCAATGTCATGAGGGTTGAAGAATACCGGGTTCCTCTCCAGTACAGAATTCGAAGGAAGCCATTGCTGAGAAACCCACCAATGCAGTAATCCAGGCGCATAGCTTGAAAAGAAGTACGTCAACTGTACAAGCCTCCTACGGTAGTCATCTCTTATGAGACTTTGAGGAAGGGAACGCCAATTGTAATTGACAATTGGGACAATTAGTGCTGCACCTGCTAGTCTGCACACAAACTGGCCTCATCAACACAACATTCAACTGTAGAAGCCTATGAAAAGGGAAACATGTCTTGAACACATTAACTTGCCTGTTCGGTATGTATTTGAGGCAGCTCCAAATTGGATATGATCCCATAGATACCCCAATGACATAAAACTTGGATCCGAGCTCAAGTTGGTCCGCAAGTTCTTCGATGTCCAAAGCCTCACTCTTTACTGATCTCTTCGGGTTAGGGTCACTCTCTCCATATCCAGCTCGATCAAATTGCAAGAAACAGATCCCCAACTCCTCTATCAATTCCTGGAAACTAAAGCATGGTGAGTTTCAGTTTTCACTCTTGTCAACTATTCAAATCCAAGTAAAACATTCCGTTGATTGACTGAGCTCTCTATATTGTTCATCCATCTCTATCTATGACCTACTCTGCTGATACATCAACATCCTAAACAGCCACCACCAATATTCAGGAAGAGCATAAGAAGAACTCAACATTTCACTTGTCAAAGTTGTGCTTTAGAATCTCTCTATATATGCATCTACTTCAAATTGTTCCTTCTACTGTTACTCAGCCAAGAATGCTTGAAATTTCATAATTAGTGGAGGATAACATTAGGAAAAAAAGGGGTGAGGGATCAAAAGGACAGTACTTCAGGTGCCAGAAAGTTCATCTCTTTGGAGCTTCCAAAGCCATGAACAAGAATAATCTTGTACTTGGCTTTGTTTCTTGGAACCCCTTTCTCCCTATAAGCCAGGTACCTCCCATCGCTAAGCCTGATTCTCGTGGATTCGTCAGCGTGCTCCTCTGCATTAGGATCACTCTGCAGCGGCGGAGTAAGCTGAGTGGCCTGATAAACCATTCCCATAAGACCAATCATCAAAACCACCGCCGTCGTCGACACCATCCCTGAAAAAAAAGAGCCAAACAAACAAAACCCAGATCTAATTAGCAAAAACCCAATTAGAATCCAATGCTGAAACTTCAATTAAACCCCAAAAACCGCAAAAAAAGATTCGAAATTTCTGTAACCCACCTGACTGATTGAATTTGGAAGTGCTCAACGTGGTCTCGGGAACCCAATGAGCGCGGCCGCGGGGGTCTCTGAAGCCTTCTTCTTCTCCGCCGTGAGATTGGGAATACTTCGATCGAAGCTGGGAGGCGAGCCAAGGCGGCGACGGAGGCGGCGGGGGAGCACCGGGGATCTTGTGAGAAGCAGTACTACTACTACTACGAGCTTGATTATTGCTTCTACTACTTCTTCTGCTCTGTTGATTGCTCACAAGTTTGATCTTCTGTAAGTATCTCATGTGGAGGCGTTGGGAAAGTTTTGTCCGGAATGTTTAGCTGCTGCTAGCCGTCGTCTTCCTCGTGGTGAGTTGGTTGATTGCGGGTACGTTGCCATGGCCTCCTTTCCCCACTCCTTTTGAGCTCGTTGTATGAATCGGATATTCCTTTTATAAACAAGGTATTTGGGCAAATTTATTCCTTTAGAATTTGTATCCAATCATGTTACAGAAAACAGAACCATTTTCTTTTACTTTCTTTTTGGTTCAGTTTAGCATCAGTCGAGGAGAACGGATCACGTCAGTAACCTTATAATGAGTAACTATGAGTAACTCGTACACATCAACATGACATCAGCATCTCTCTCTTGGAAAATCTTTAATTTTCCCTCCTTAATCTTTGACGGATGAGTTCTCACTCGTTTTAGGTCGAAATTTAATTTTTTTGCACAGTTAGATTAGATTAATTGTGCTCTTCAAAATGATATCTACTTTGATATATTTTCGAACAAAAAAATTTGAGTCATTTTTTACCAGTCTATACCATATGGTATTGACTAGTATTGAAATAAGAGCATACCACCTATGATTTAAAAAGCGTACCATGGTAGTATGAACAAACCAAGACTGTATGATGGTTGAATACATGATAGTAGAAGTATATTAATTGTCATTTATAACTTTTAACATTGTATACCACAGGATACCACACCGTACCAGGGTGGTATTGTATGGTATTGTGTGGTATTTTTTTGGTCCTGTAATTTATTCACCCAGAAATTTGTAGACCCAATAGATCATGAAGAACTTGTCCTTTCTGTGCAAACGTTTTCAAAAACGAATTAAAACGAAGAAAATACCATATGGTATGCAGTTGGTACCGAGAGGCCAGAATTTTTTTCTCACAAAATATTGAAAATTGATCTCATTTTGTAGAGCACGATGAACTCTTTCCATCTGTGCAAAAAAAAAAATCCGAGTTAAAACGAAAAAGATATAAGCCGATTAACAAAGCTAAGGAAAATAAAAATTGTATTTAATTCTCTATCTTTATATCTAGATTTTCTAAATGAAGGGTCCAGATTTGGTTATTGATGGGTGCATAACCCATGATTATGCACCCTATCTTGAGCCTCAGTGGAGCTTGGTTGTAGTAACCAACGATTAGGGGTTGTTACGTAATGGTCACTTTTTTTGTAACAAAACAGTGAATAAACTTAAAATAAAATAACAAACAATTGGTAGTTCAATTTTTTTTATTTTGTTACAAAATGATTAGTTAGACTATCTTCGTTCATTTTGTTGTTAATTGGTAGATTTCAACCTGCCAATAAAGATTTCTTGTAATACGTCGTTGGGCATTGGTTTATGTTGGGGAAGCATAAATGAGCCCATCTAAGCCCAAAGCCTGATGGGCTTGGAGCCCATTAATGGTCCATTGAGACATGACCTGGGAGGCACCAACGGTAAAGGGGCGCATGACGACAAAATAGGCTCGCGGACAAAGAAGTACGGCTGAGGAGGGTCGGAAAAGCACCACGTAGGCGGATGGTCCCCCCATGCGCCCTGACACCAGAGTCGGACGATGCGCCACGTGTAGGCGCTCGGACGTTGGACCAGACCAGGCATTTAATGCTTGGCTGACGTAAGGCTTGGTGGCAGGAGTTGGTCGGAGCCTAGTCGAGGAGCTCGAGTAGTATAAATAGCACTCGGTAGGTGGCATTTAAGCAGGTCGGTTTTCTCTCACTAAGTTCTATCTCTTCACTTATCTCTCTAGAATCACTACTAACTTGATCGTCGGAGTGCTAACGGGCAGGTTTAGCCCTCTAGGCGCTAGTTTTGCAGAGCCTGGGCGCCCGTGGTGCAGCAAAGTAGACGCGTTTGAAAGAGGGAAGTATCGTGGCATAAACAATTGGCGCGCCAGGAAGGGGGCGCCTGAGAGATTGTAGGCAGATGGAAGACTTGAACGAAGGGAATGCGGGGGCTGACGATGTGAGAACGGAGGACTCCAGTCATGAGGGGAGCGGGCAACGGTCTAGCCCCGTGGTGAGCATGGAGGTAGAGGAAGAAAGCCGTGAGCGCCCATCTGTGGAAAGTGATTCATTGTCAAAGAGGGAGCTGTTTAAGATCATCGCTGACCAGGATAAGGCAATAGCCATGCTTCGGAAGGAATTGGAAGGAGGAAGGAGCGCCGATACGAGAGAGTACAGCCCCCCCGGTGAGGAAGCGTGATAGGCTCGTGGATGATTCGGAAGTTAGTGAGTACGGGCGCCCATACTATGAAGGGCCGAATGTGGAATTAACACCGCCTAGGCGTCCGGGTGTGTGGAGGGCACCTGGAGAGTTGGCCACCTCGGGACCAGAGGAGCAAAACCCATGGACGCCTAGACGCCAGACCAGGCGTTTTGGGATCAGGCAACCTCTGGCGCAAAGCGTCCTAATGGAACCAGCAGGAACTACCCTCCCGCCTCTGACCAGCTATGATGGGGTCACTGACCCGGAGGATCATCTGAATAGCTATTTTACGAAGATGCAGCTATACAACAGCACGGACGCCACGCTATGCAAGGTGTTCCCCTCGACGTTCGCAGGAGTAGTTTTGGATTGGTATCATCAATTAGAGGAGGGGCGCATTGAGTGCTTTGAACAGTTTGCGGAATTGTTCTTGTCCAAATTTGCGAGCCGAAAGCGGCGGACACTGACTATAGGCGCCTTGTTTAAAATCAAGCAGAGGGACGGGGAGGCGCTTAGAGAGTTCTATAACCGGTGGATTTCGGTCGCCATGGCCGTGAAGGATGTGCAGCCGCCAGTTCTGGGTGTGTGTCTTGAGGAGTGCACGAATAGTGAGGAGTTATGTCGGGTGCTGTTCAAGAGGGCTGTCGTGTCAACAGAAGACTTGGATCGAAGGGTTCAGAAGGTTATTGCCTTGGAGGAGACATTGGCTGCAAGAAGAGCAGAGAAAAGACGCGTGGGTAGGGAAGAGATTGAAGTGCGCCAGGCTCCCAGACCATTCATTGTGAACAACGCTCCGCAGAGGAAGATGGAGAGTCAGCGCCCTCCACCCAGGAGTGCGGGAAATTTCACGGAATACAACGATTCATTAAAGAACATTCTACAGTACGTGAAGGATAGAGGGTACCATGTGCGTTGGCCGGGACCTATGCGTGGGCAACCAAATGAGCGAAACCTTGACCGATATTGCGACTTCCATCGGGATAAAGGGCATCACACGGCCGATTGCTACCAACTAAAATCGGAACTGCAGACTTAAGCAGATCGAGGGATGCTCAACGACTTTGTAAGAAAAACAGATGAGCGAACTCACCGTGCATATGTCACAAGGGAAACAAGGCTGGCGCCTGTTGTTCCAACTGCGCCGAGGGAGCCCATCCTCCCCACCATGCAACAGGCGCCTGAGGTTCACCCACCCCCACTTGAGATACCCCCGCCTCCGTTTGAGGTGAATCAGGAGGGAGAGCCCAGCCGGGTTAGACTCACAGTGGAGTCCATAACTGGTACCCTTGACCTGCGATATAAGTTGGATCGGTCTAGGCGCCTCAGGGCTGCGTCTGTGGAAGCAAAGGCGGCGGTCCAAATATGCTTTAATCAGGAGGCGGATGAAGCGTGTCAAGTACCTTCAGAAAAGGCTTTGGAGATACAAGGAGTCATTGCAGGGTGCAAGGTCAAAAGGATGTTGGTAAATATGGGAAGCTCGATGAATGTTTTGTTCAAGAGCACGTTCGAGCGCATGCAGTTGGCGCCGGAGTTGGTGAGCCCCTCTGATTCGGTGCTGATAGGGTTCTCGGGGGCGCCTGCCCATGTGATCGGGCGCGGCGCCTCCCGGTAACATTGGGTGACGGAACGCATCGAGTGACACATGCAGTGGAGTTTGGGATAGTAGACTACCCCTCGCCGTACAATGTCATACTAGGAAGGCCCCTTTCGGCGTTGTTCAATGGGGTGGCCTCAACTTGTTACCAAACGTTGAAGTTTGTTGCCCCACAAGGCATAGGAATCTCACGGGGAGAAGGCGTCCCCCGCTACGCGCGGGAGGAAGAATGGAGAAGGAAAGGCGCCCGGAGGCACAGGGTGAACAACATAGACATTCGCCCAGAGGAGGCGCCCAGAGCAGAGCCTGTGGATGATGAGTTCAGTGTGCCGATCGAAGAAGGGCGCCTAGACCGACAGGTACGAGTGTCATCACAGGCTCCGGAGCACATGAGGGCTCCCTTGATCAATTTGTTAAGAGAATTCGGGGAGCTTTTTGAGTGGAGCCCACAGGACATGCCGAGAGTATCCCCAGACGTGGCGGCGGATCCATTGGCCGTTGAAGAGGGTAAGATACATGTTCAACAAAAGCGAAGAAATTTGACTCTTGAGAAGGAGGAAGCCCTGCGGAAGGAGGTCGACAAGTTGCTCGAGGCAGGCTTCGTCGAGGAGGCCAGATATATCACTTGGCTGTCGAACGATGTGTTCGTCCCAAAGCCGTCGGGGGATTGGAGAATGTGCGTGGACTTTACCAACATTAATCGGGCGTGCCCAACAGACGCCTACCCAATGCCACGCATTGATCCGCTTGTGGACGCCACGACCTACCATGAGGCGCTTAGCTTCCTTGATATGTTTTCAGGGTATCATCAAATTCCCATGGTGGAGGAGGATAGAGCAAAGACTGCCTTTATGACACCCTTTGGCAACTTCTGTTACAAAGTGATGGCATTTGGATTGAAGAATGCATGCGCCACGTATCAGCGCATGGTGAATCAAATCTTTCGCGAGCAGTTGGGAAGGAACGTCGAGGCATATGTCGACGATTTGATCGTAAAAAGCAAGAGGCGCCAAGACCACATCTCGGATTTGGGGGAGACATTCGAGACTATGCGCTTGTATAAGCTGCGACTTAACCCGAAGAAGTGCGTGTTCTTAGCAGAGGCTGGTAAGTTCTTGGGATTCATGATCACAAGAAGAGGAATTGAGGCCAACCCCAAGCAAGTTGAAGCAATTATGAGGTTGACGCCTCCCCGAACACCTAAGGAGGTGCAAGGGTTGACGGGAAGATTGGCAGCGCTGGGGCGCTTCATTCCAAGAGCCTCACATAGAGGCGCCCCCTTTTTCAGAACATTGAAGAAGGCTAGCAAGTTTAAGTGGACGGAGGAGTGAGATGAGGCATTCGGAGATCTAAAGAAGTTGCTGACCGCGCCTAAGGTCAAGGAGACGCTATACTTGTACATTGCGGTCTCCCGGATTGCGGTGAGTGCGGTGTTGGTGTCCAAAGACCCGTCAACGAATGAGGAAAGACCGGTATATTATGTAATTCGTACCATGGTGGTGCACGGGACGAGGTATGCGCCTATTGAGAAGGCGGCGTTGGCGGTAGTGATGGCGGCAAACAAGCTCCGGCCTTACTTCCAAACTCACAGCATTGTGGTGCTCACAAACTTGCCTCTCTGAACGGTCCTTGGGTCCATGAACGTTTCAGGGCGCCTGGTTAAATGGGCTGTTCAATTGAGCGAGTTCGATGTGAGTTACGCGCCCAAACCGGCCATCAAAGCGCAAGTGTTGGCTGATTTTGTGGCCGAAGGAGTGGTTGACGCGGGGAATGGCGCGGAAGAATGTTGGCAAGTTCAGGTGGATGGAGCGGCAAGCCGAGCTGGTGCGGGAGCAGGTATTGTGCTAATTAGTTCCCTGGGCGCTATGCATGAAGTTGCACTGCGTTTCGCAACACTTAAAACGAACAATGCGGTGGAATACGAGGCGGTCCTGGCAGGGCTCCACATGGAAAGGGAGTTAGGCGCCCAGAAGGTTAATGTCCAAACTGACTCGGCGCTCGTGGTCAATCAGTTGAACAATGTGTATGAGGTAAAAGAGGAGGCGCTGGGAGCATACGTTCACTTAGTCAGAGAAAAGTGTGTGTGGTTTCGAGAGGCTACGTTCACACATGTTCCAAAAGAAGAGAACGCCCATGCTGACGCCCTATCTAAGTTGGCCACGACGTTGGATTTCGCAGAAGACAGAAAGGTGATCGTCACCAAGGAAGCCCCACGTGAGGAGAGGGTGATGGCGTCTATTCTCGTGGGAACCGTGGAAGGATGGATGGCGCCTATCATGCTTTTCCTAACGCAGGGTGTGGTCCCGGAAGACCCAAAAGAGGCTTGGCGTTTAAGAAGGAAAGCGGCTCGATGTGTCATTATGGAGGGAGTACTATACAAAAGATCCCACTCGGGCGCCTACCTACGTTGCCTCACAGAGGCCGAAGGACAAAAGGCTATCGCGGAAGTGCATCAAGGAACGTGTGGGATGCACGCAGGCGCCCGGAGCCTAGAGAAGGTACTGCTAAGACAGGGATATTATTGGCCAACAATGAGAGCTGACGCTGGAAAGCACGTGGCCGCATGCCATCAATGTCAAATCCATGCCAACGACATACATGTGCCGGCGGCACCCATGCAAGGAAACATAGGCGCCTGGCCTTTTGCCCAATGGGGGATGGATCTTCTGGGACCCTTCCCCAAGGCGCCCGGACAATTCAAGTATTTGATTGTGGCTATTGATTATTTTACCAAGTGGATTGAGGCGGAGCCATTGGCATCCATCACGGAAGTGCAATTGCGAAAGTTTACAAGAAAGAACATCTTCACAAGGTTCGGGCTGCCGGAGTCGATCATCATCGATCATGGCAAGCAGTTTGATTGCAAGAGATTCATTGACTTCTGTGACGAAAATGGAGTGGTCCTGAGGTTCTCTTCTGTAGCTTATCCGCAAGCAAACGGGAAAGCGGAAGCGGCCAACAAAAGTATATTGCATGGGCTGCATACCCGGCTCGAAGAAGCCAAGGAAAACTGGGTGGAGGAACTTCCAAGTGTCTTGTGGGCGCATAGGACCACCTTCAAAGTTGCAACAGGGGAAACGCCCTTCGCGCTGACATATGGTAGTGAAGCGGTGTTACCGGTGGAGATTCGCATTCCGACCTTTCGAATGGCGCATAAGAGGGGAGTCGATGGAGGAGCAGGAGCGGGTCAATGAGTTGGATCTCCTTGATGAGCGTCGTGAAAGGGAGGCTCTGCGCCTGGAGGCAATGAAGTCGCAAGTGGCTCGCTATTACAACAAGAAGATGCGCCTGCACTGCATGACATTGTGGCTGGAAACTTAGTGTTGAAGCGCGACTTTCGCCCAAAAGCCACTGATGGAAAGTTGGCACCAAAGTGGAAGGGGCCATATTGTGTGCAAGAGGTAGTTGGGCCGGGCACGTTTAAGTTGGAACATTTATCAGGAAATGAGGTTAAGAGAACTTGGAATGCCCAAAACTTATGAAGGTATGGCTTTGTGGAGGCCAATATGACAGGAGAAGATGGCAGAGTGCCGGAGGGGGCGCCTAGCAGGTGGTAATTGCAAGGGAAAGCGTCAAGCCTTGGGGTGTTTTTTGGTAGGAGTAGAGAGAGGCGCCGATATGCGCCAGTAGTATTTTAAAGCGCCCTTATGCGCCCGTAACATTTATGTAAAGCGCCATTCAGCGCCCGGGATACTTAAAGCGCCCGGTAATAGCGCCCCAAGGCTGTTTTTTGAAATCGGAATATATATACATAAGTACTTCGTTAACTTGCCGATAGCACCAATTCATTGTGCCCTCATGCGCCCGTAACATTTATGTAAAGCGCCCGGGATACTTAAAGCGCCCTCATGCATAATGCGCCTCATTGTGCCCTCATGCATAATGCGCCCTCACACCAAATACTTGGGCCCTTAATAAGGCATGAAGGTTATGCGCCCCATATAAGCGCCCTGATTATCGCATCGCTCACCACTTAGCAAAAATGGAGTAAAATATGCAAGTAAAACATCAATAAGATCAAGGCGCTTGTCTTTTCATCCGGGAAGCAAAATAAAAGATAGTCACAAAAGCAAAAATTTAACACATAAGGTAAGCATAAAAGAGATAAGTATAGCAGCACATATGGGCGCCTATGATCGTGCCATGAAATAATCCTATTCTTCGCCCGCTGACTTCTCGCCAGATTTCGAACTTGATCCCGAGTCTTCTCCTTCATCCACCGGGTCCTGAAGAGGCGCAGGAGCTGGGTCCACGATTGGGCGCCCACTGGCCATGAAGTCGATGACGAAATTGGCCATCTCCTTGACATCCCAGTTGATAGTGGGATGGTCAGCCTCCAACTTCCTCTTCAAAATGAGGATGTTGTTGAGGGAGGCATGGGCCTTAAGCGCCATGTCTGAGACAGGCGTCTCCGCTGTCGCTTTCTCTTTCTTAAGCGCCTCTAGCTCTTCCTGGCGCCTCTTATCCTCCTTGGCCAGAATCTTCTTCTCCTTCTGCAGCGCCTTCTTCTCTTCAGTAAGGAGGTCGATTTTGCTCCTTTGGGCGCCCGCCTCTTTGTTCAGATCGTCCTTTTCCTTCACAAGCTTGGCCATCTCCTCATGATGCGCCCTTTTGATATTCTTGAGCTGGGCCTCATGCTCCGATTTCAGTCTCTGCTTTTCCTCATCGATGGACTTTTGGACGAGAGAGATAGCTTTTGTAGCCTCGAGATTGGCATCCTCGCACGCTTGCACCAGCTTCGGTTGGTGTCTCTGCGCGGTCTCCAAGTCATCCCTCATCACACTAAGGGAATTGGAGGCCTCATTCTCTCCAACGCGCAGCGCCTCGCCTGCCAATGCGCCATTCTTGGCGAGTAGGAGCATCTAAAAAAAAATTAAGGCAATGATAGTTACGCGTGTGCTAAGTGATAGGAAAGGAGGCAAGGTGGGCGCATACCTGGGCAGCCATGCGTGCTACTTCTCCCCATAAGTTCGCGCCTTGAACTTCACTGGGCGCCCTCAACACCTCGGCCGCGTGAAAGGCAATGCCAAGCGCAGAGCCTCTCTCCAAGGCAGATCTGTCTGAGCAGGCAATGTTGACCCTATGCCTGGGTGGTTGTAGCCATTTTTCGACAAACTCCGGGACTCGCTCCTCTGCGCTTGTGCGCTGCTTCTTGCTCTGCGCCCGAGTATCATCCTCAGCTTGCTTCCTTTTCAGCTTTTGCACAAGGGGGAGATCATCGATATCCAACTCAGGGTCGGAAGAAATGTGGACAATAGGCGCCTCCTCTTCGGGTTGCACGAAGGTAGGCGCAATCTCCTCCTCTACCGGAGGGACACTCGACGCCTTTTGTGGTTTGATGCGCCCCTTTCCTGTGTGTGCCGCGACAGGCGCATCGTTCTTAGCTCCGGAGGAGGAAGACTTGTTCTTCCCTTTCTTCGAAGCGCCTTTCCGTGGGCGTGAGGGCGCCTTGCCGCCGAATTCAGGCGCCTTGTAGTCCAGGCCCAGGCCCTCAAGTTGGGTCTTCATCAGTGAGGCAATGGTGGTGAAGTCCACACCTGCAGTAGGGTATACATGGTTAAATAAAGGCATAATAACAGTTGTGCATGCGTAAAAGGACATGGGCGCTTTCAAATTTGTAACAGAACGGATGCGCTACTAAGCGCCTACCTACCGTCGGCGTAGTACTCATGTAAGACAGGAGTCCTAGCGGCTGTGGAACTAATGTTCACAGGGTGAATGGATAGTAGGTGCGCGTGCTCTTTCTCCGTGGAGGATAATTCCACGTCAACATTGAAGTGGGTGGTATTACCAATCTTCCAATCCCGGATGAAGCGGTCGCCGCTCTAATAAAACGTCTCTGCTCGCGCCTTAATAAAAAAGTAGCCCCTATACCACTTGCGCCCCAACTTTGGGCAATCTTCTACAAAGTGTCCCGGGATGTCCAGGCGCTTCTATAGGGACAAACAGTTATCACTGCTGGTCATAGTGAAGAAGTACCGAAAAAGCTTGAACGTCAGTGTGATGTTGTTCTGCCGGCACTTTAGTTTGAATAGGATATGAATCAAAAAGACCGAGGGCGATAGGCGCCCGAGAGAACATGTGCATGTTGTGAGGATCCCTTCCAAAATCGAATCCAAGGGGAAGCGTAGCCCGAATTTGAAATACTCCCTATATATACCAAGCCACCGTGGGCCAATTGCTCCTATCCTGGCAATTGGAGACGCAGGCGCATAGGACCATGTGCGAGGGAGGTTGCATGAGGTAATCAGTCGATGCATTTCCGCTATCTTGATGGTGGACGAGTGTTTTGGCCCGGCGCGCCGAACGGACAGTTTACTGGTGCTATCGGGCGCCTCCCCTTGCGGCCATGTATCTTCTCAATCAACTATCTTGAACAACCCGTCTTCAGGGGCGCCCGAATCAGTGGATGCCGGAGAAATCGCCAAATCACTCGACTTTGAGGAGGTAGGCGCGGAGCCTATAAGTGATCCAAACACCCTTGGTCAATACTAAGGACCTAAGACCTCTTGTGGGCGCCTAGCAGAGAATCAACGTGAATTGGAAAAGGTCAAAGAGCGGGAGAAAAAAAAGTGTCTTACTCTGAGTGGTCGTGGCGGGCGCTGGAGTAGTGGTCGTGGGTGCAGTAGAGGCCGCCGCCACTGTAGGCGCCTCCGCGTCGGCGGGCGCAGAAGAGGAAGGGGCGGATTTTGTTCTCTTCGGCGCCTCCTTGTTAGACGCCTCCTTGTTAGGGCGAGACGCCCGTTGGTCTTGGTTTCGAAGTGGGTCAGGAGAAAGATGCTTCTCGAGCACATCGAGTACACTAGGCGCTGCGCTTTCGCCCTTTTCCGCCGAGGTATGGGTCACACCGGAGTCTGATTGAGACATGATTGCAGGGCAAAAGCAGGCGCACGAGAGAGAGACCTGGGGCGCGCGGGCGAGAGAAAGGTGGAGCGGTTAGAGAGAGAAGCTAGAGAGAGAGAGTAGTTTGGGACGAATGAAATAGGGAGGGGAGGAAGATGCGTATTTATAGGAGAGAGGAGACGGAGAGTCACCTCGAGATGTGCGCGCGCCAAACGGGCATATCCTCGCCATCCGTTCAAAATTCGAATTTTGAATTTGAATTTTGAAATTCGAAATTTGAACGCACGCCGAGCGGGGGGAGAGAGGTACGGTCATGCGCCTTATCGAATTCAAGCAGGCGAAGAGTTATAAACAGGTGGTTATGCGCTTATCTTTATTCAAGCAGGCAAAAAGCCACAAACATGCGCCCGTTGAATAAAGGCAGGTGAGGGGTCACAAACAGACACAAACAGGCGGTTATGCGCCTGATTGAATTCAAGCATGAGAAGGGTCACAAACAGGCGCATGAGAGAGGCAAAAAGCCACAAACAGGCGCCCGATTGAATAAAGGCAGGTGAGGGGTCACAAACAGACACAAACATGCGGTTAGGCGCCTGATTGAATTCAAGCAGGTGAAGGGTCACAAACAGGTGGTTATGCGCCTATCTTTATGCAAGAGGGCAAAAAGCCACGAACAGGCGCCCGGTTGAATAAAGGCAGGTGAGGGGTCACAAACAGGCACAAACAGGCGGTTATGCGCCTATCTTTATGCAAGCAGGCAAAGAGCCACAAGCAGGCGCCCGGTTGAGTAAAGGCAGGTGAGGGGTCACAAACAGGCACCTGTTTCACCTTATTTTCATAAAAGCGGGTAAAAGTTCACAAGCGTTGATATAGGCCAACAGACACATGGCGTGGGGGGCAAGGTGGCGCCAGATACTTGCTAGAATCCCTGTTCTTTCATAGTTAGGCACTCACCTGTGAGCACCTAACTGGGGGGCAATTGTTGGGGAAACATAGATGAGCCCATCTAAGCCCAAATCCTGATGGGCTTGGAGCCCATTAATGGTCCATTGAGACATGACCTGGGAGGCACCAACGGTAAAGGGGCGCATGACGACAAAATAGGCTCGCGGACAAAGAAGTACGGCTGAGGAGGGTCGGAAAAGCACCACGTAGGCGGATGGTCCCCCCATGCGCCCTGACACCAGAGTCGGACGATGCGCCACGTGTAGGCGCTCGGACGTTGGACCAGACCAGACATTTAATGCTTGCTGACGTAAGGCTTGGTGGCAGGAGTTGGTCGGAGCCTGGTCGAGGAGCTCGAGTAGTATAAATAGCACTCGGTAGGTGGCATTTAAGCAGGTCGGTTTTCTCTCACTAAGTTCTATCTCTTCACTTATCTCTCTAGAATCACTACTGACTTGATCGTCGGAGTGCTAACGGGCAGGTTTAGCCCTCTAGGCGCTAGTTTTGCAGAGCCTGGGCGCCCGTGGTGCAGCAAAGTAGATGCGTTTGAAAGAGGGAAGTATCGTGGCATAAACAGTTTATTAGTATGATGCGCAGATACATCACCAGCATAATCATAGAATCCAAGAGGCAAACCTCACAATTACCTTTTGTACCAAATAAATCAAGAATTCATTTCATTTTAAAATGAGTTACCCTGTAGAATTCATTGTCAAATGAAATCTTGTGTTTGGTATGTCATATTCAAATCTTTAAAAATAAAATGAATTGCGGTGCAGAATTCATTGTCAAATTAATTTATGTGTTTGGTATGTCATATGTATAAATAATTTAGGTAATAAAAGAGGATAATTATATCATTCTATGATAATTAGTAAATACTTGTGTAATTCATTTGGAAATTTCATCTCAATTCCTGGGAATGGCTATAACTAGTTCCAATTCCATAGAATTCAAAACTTAGAATTGAAAATGAATTCTTTTAAATACCAAACACAAAAATATTTCATTTCAAAATGAATTCCACAAAACTTATGGAATTCATTTATACCAAACGGTATGTACCTAATCGTTTGATATAACTAATTCATTCAATAAGACTATATATGTACCTGTTTCAGATTATACCATAGGGGCAAAGGGGGAGTTCAAAGGCGCGAACCTGCTCTCAACATGGCATTGATGTCACGAGTCACGACGCACTAGATTATGAGAAATACAAAAAGGATGGAACGAAATTCTAAACTACACTTTATGATCTGTTTAATATGTGCTTTCAATGCAAACCTTAACGGATGATGAAATTGAACTTGACACAAATGAAAAATTGACGTTGGACATTTATGTATAGTTTCGAAAACCAAATATACTTGTGAGTTGTTCCACTTCCACATAGTTCTTTCACTTAAAACCTGGATAAAAAAAAAAGATTATTCGAATATCAAACCTCCATTAAATAAAATCAAACACATTAATCACTTGAACTAATGGACACCTTGGAAGTTGGTGGTGAGGAATATTTGGGTTGGTAAAGAGTTTCTTGCTGTTGCCTGTTAGTGCTTTCTTACAAAACTAAAAAAGGAACAATCCCTTTCTCTCAAGGAATATTTCGTCTCTTTTGTCTGGCTTTCTCCCCTGTTTTCTGCTGTCTATCATCACGACTCTCTGGCTCTCTTCCTATTGCAGATTATTATAAGCTGGAGGAAAGGGTTAAGAAAAGGAGACTGGTAATGCCCTTTAACGGCTAGTTCAGTTTGTCTGCACGTTTGTTGATCTCAGTTTCGTCTTATGAAAATAATAAGATATCAGTTGAGAGATGAGAGTAAAGGAAAGCCAAAATTGCGTTTGATGGGAACTAGTGAGCTGTGAAAAGAGTGAGAAATGATCAAATGTAGTATGCTATATTTCATTAAATTTTTCAATTTTCATTGTTTCTCGGTATTTCGGCATATATCGATTTCAATCCCAAATACCGAATAGCACTTCAAAATGAATCACAATCCCTAAAAAATAAATCGGTATTCGATAATACTAAGTAGTAATAAGTTCGATATGATATTCGGTTACCGGTACCAAACTTCCAACCCAAATGTACGAGCACTGAAAGATCTAAATGAATAGGAAAAAGCAATTTGCGTATTGGCCCTCAATATTTAAGTCAAAGGAACTTTTAATGATGATCTCAAGGGAAGTTTCATAAAATCTTGCCTAATAAGGAAACCTCAAGAATGAGAGTCTATTAGAATTGGACAAATATTTACTGAAAATGAAAATATATTTCACCCAAAAAAATGAAAACGAAATTGTGTATAAAAATAAATTAGAAAAAGAACCACTTATCAAATGGCAGAACCTAGTTACTTATCACTCTTTTACTTTTTGGACTAATATCACTATAACAACCGAACTAATTATCACTAATGTTGCAAGAACACAAAAAATTGCAGTTTAATAGAATTTTCTTGAAATATGCTAATAATGTGGTAAAATATTATTGACCAAAGTATGAGTACTAATATTATTGACCATAACAACTTGTCCTATTATTTGTTCTTGGGAGGCCTAGGTAATTAAGGGGTCGTTTGGAAGTTGCGATTGTTTTGTTGAGATTGTCATTATGCATATATTGTTTACAATGCATCTTTTTTTTTTAGCAGAAACAATACATGGATTGTTTCTATGATGTGACAGAAACTATCACTCATTTTGAGTGATTGTTA